TTTATGGAACAGGTCCTTCTCCCACCTCACCTATTTCCTCCCACTGAACACTCCGTCCACGGTACATATTTCTGCTGTGATCTGAAATTCACTTAGCTAGGTTGCTTGTAATTTCATTTCTGCCTTCACTTCCACCTTTGTACACAGCCTCCTCTGTGCACCCTGATCATGTGCAAACACAGAAGGAGAACAGAAATCCAGAGATAATTTATGACATTAAGCCAAAGTATTTTTCACTCTCTCATAAGCGGCACACAAGTGAGAGAGCGGTATTTTGTGGGTGGAGAACATGTACTACATAAGGATTATTAAAAATGTGGGGTCCTTGGTGTTCTCTGAGCTTGGTGGTTTTCTTGCAGACATTTCATTACCAAATTAGGCGACATCATCAGTGCTAGAAGGGAATAGCATTTACTATTATTCTTTTTCTCTTTATTAAGTCTTAGTATTAAATACAATATTAAAATATTAAAAAGACAGACTATGGGATACTACATACCATAAAGCTGTGAGTAGCACTTTATTGTAAATGGGAAAACAAAATGGGCTTTGTTAGACCTTCCATTGCATCAGACTTCAGATCTTGGAAAGAGTCAGTTCATAAGTTATGTGAGACACAATAGCCATGTGTCTCACATAAGTTGTTCTAATACAGAGATTTAATCTGGGATCTACTGTGGGAGGTCCACAACTTCAGAGCCACTGCAAACTTGGATTAAAATAAAATTACTATCGTCACTGACTTTTTTTTTTAGTGCACTTCACTAACTGATTTAATGGTTTTACAAAGAACTACATTTAGGAGAGCTGCCAAGTGCCTGCCTATAATTGCAGCAAGGTGAAAACATGATAAATAGCTGTAGTACAGATATGTTGCTTTTTTAATAGTTTAATAACTGTATTGAGCACAATTGTAATACAATTTATATTATTTGGTGTATTTAAATGCATGCTTCTGAGAAGGAGAAGGAGAAGGAGAGAAGGAGAGAAGGAGACTCTCAAAGGGGTCTATGGCACAAAGAGGTCTGTTGCATTGTGTGTGCCTGTAATAATAATAATAATAATAATAATAATAATAATAATAATAATAATAATAATAATAATAATAATAATAATAATAATAATAATAATAATAATAATAATAATAAAGTTGGAAGGGACCTTGGAGGTCATCAAGTCCAACCCTCTGCTCAGGCAGGTAACCCTATACCATTTCGGACAAATGGCTGTCCAGTCTCTTCTCAAAAACTTCCAGTGTTGGTGCATTCACCGCTTCTGGAGGCAGGTTGTTCCACTGGTTAATTGTTCTAACTATCAGGAAGTTTCTCCTTAGTTCTAGGTTGCTTCTCTCTTTGGTCAGTTTCCATCCGTTGCTTCTTGTCCTGCCTTCAGGCGCTTTGGAGAATAGCTTGACTCCCTCTTCTTTGTGACAGCCCCTGAGATATAGGATAGGATAGGATAGGATAGGGTAGGGTAGGGTAGGGTAGGGTAGGGTAGGGTAGGGTAGGGTAGAATAGAATAGAATAGAATAGAATAGAATAGAATAGAACCTTGGTGGTCCGGTGTTTGCTACATGCACAGATTACATTACATCATAACAAGGTTAATATAGTAACAAAGGATTGATGTCAATACCTTTAAATCTATGGGCTCCAAGTGCCATCGATTTAAGTCTATGTTGGAATGGGTCGTTATGCAAAGCAACTCTGGCCCTTGAAAATCTATGTGGTAAGGAAGAAGAACATTCAGCCTCTCAAAATTCTTGCAACACTGAGACAGGAGAAGTCACCAAAAGTTCAGGGGAGGAGATGCCTTTTTTTTTTTTTTTTTTTTTTATCAAAACAGGATCTGGCAACCTCATTATGTTACAATTCATTGTTTGCCAAGCCATTTAATTCAAGTTTCCCTTGTGCAGCACAGGATTCTCTCCATCTCACTCAAAGCACATGATTATTCTCCCTCATTCCATCCCATTTTGCTGCCAGCACACATCAGGAGGAAGATGCTTAGGCAGATGTTGTTTATGATTCAAGAGTCTGATGACCCGACATGTGTTCTTTTCCAGCTGATTGTGGAGTTTCTCTTCTCTGAGTTTACATCTATCAAAACAGAACAGCATTTTCTCCATCTAAATAGGGAGTGGAATAGAACATTCTTTTGTTCTGGGACTGCCAATAGTTTGCAATCAATCGAAACGAAACAAACATTTGGGCTAGCATCTGCATGCATTTAGATGTATCTCACCAACTTACTAATACAGGACAAATATCCTAGTACTTATTATAACATTACTGATCATTGTACAGAGATAGTGGGAGTAATCAACCACCTTGATCTAGATTAAGATAGCTCCTGCCCTTGTTTCAAATGTTTAGATTTGGCAGGATGGAAGTGACCTACATTAGAAGCTAAGATGCCAAGCTAAAGTTTCTGGCTACCACATCTTTTCCAACTTCCATGACATTTCCTTGGTTTTCCTAACTTTTTGGAGTTGAGCAGTCCCTGTAAAGCAGACATGTCAAACACAAGGCCAGGGGGCCGGATGCGGCCTGCGAAGTGGTTTCATGTGGCCCACGAACCCATCCTGGAAACAGTGAGGGAACGGCCCCTGCTGCCTTGGCCCTGGCCCAGGCCAGCCGGGAGTCAATGTACAATTTTGTGGTGGCCATCTATGCTGAAACGCATTCAGCACAAGGCCATCTAGAAACAGCGAGGAATCAGCCCCTGCCGCGTCGGCCCTGCCCCCTGGGTGCATGCTGGGGAGGTGTCACCCTTTGTGAGGAATGAAGAAATGGACCATGCCTTGATGCTTGCCCTGGTCCCACCCCCTTCTGCCAGAGACCCTCAGATCTGTCCAACTCCTGCCCAGGCCTTCACAGGCACCCTTGACGCGAACGATGTAGAGCTGGCCATGCCCACCCAGTAGGCCACACCTACTCCATCCATGCCCACCCAGTAGGCTGCACCCACCCTAGCCACACACACCCCGAGGGCAACCACAATGCTGATGTGGCCCTCAATGAAATTGAGTTTGACACCCCTGCTGTAAAGACTCACAACACACCCTTCTTTATGAAGAGGAGGCCAGGGGTTACCACTCAAGTTCTCACAAATATGTTTATGCCAGAAGAACAAATTACTCATAGTTATAGTGAGTGATCTCAGTTGCTTTGTGATACAAGGTGGAAGTCATATACAACAGAATCTTGCCCGTCATCTATCCTTACTAATGTCATGGTTCCTTTGAAAATAATTTCAGCTTAGTTTCTGATTTTTTTTCCAGTAGTCAATTAGTTTCTTATCATTTGTGATTTCTTATCATGTCTTGTGCACCAAGAAATGTATGCAAATCTATGAAAATGCTTTTGCAATCAATTTCATCTATGTAGCATTTTTATATGTTATTTTAATTAACATGCTTTTTGGGACTGGAGAATTGTACTGTAAATCCTGAAAAGTATAAATGGAAGTAGATCTGTGCTTTGGTAAAAGGCAGAATGCAAGAGTTTGATTCAGATGTGAATTAATTAGTTTTCCCTATCTATGGTCTTTTGATCACTGTATAAATTAATAAAGGGAGGGTGGGGGGGAGAGTCATGGTCTCTTTCTCAATTCCCCAAAATGCTATATTCTCTCACTATTATGATCTCCTCTTTCCTGGATTTCAAATCCTGTTGTTAGTATTGCCATGTGCTGGAAATAGAAGCAACTGAATGACTGATACATGAATTTAGATGTCAGTTCTCATATGGTTAGAGCAGTGGTTCTCAACCTGTGGGTCGGGACCCCATTTGGGGTCGATCGACCATTTCATGTGGGTCACCAAGCAAGGCTGTCCGCCATTTTTTTTGTCTGCCATTTTTTTTGTCCGCCATTTTTTCCCCCTTTTCCAGCAGGTGCCTTACCTCCCTTGGGCTGGGCCAGCTGGTGGTCGGCCTGCTCCGTCTCTGCCGCTTGCCAGCTATGCCTCGGCTGGCGCAGGGGGCGGAACCACGCATGTGTGGCGCTCCCGGGCAGGGAAAGTCCTCGACTTACGACCGGTTGGGTAGTCCTCGACTTACGACTGGTTTACTCCTCGACTTACGACCGGTTTACTCCTCGACTTACGACCGGTTTACTCCTCGACTTACGACCGGTTGGGGTCACGGCATTAAAAAGGTTGAGAACCACTGGGTTAGAGCTTGTGAAAATAAGTTACTTTTAGTCTAGAATATGGGGATATAGGGCCAAGAAAAGAGGAACAAAATAGTCTGCATTTGAAATCTGTTAGAAGAAATCTTTTCAGAAGGCTTCGGAAATGAAAAAAAAAATACTAAATTTCAGAGGTATTGAGACTACCTAGGATCAAATAGAATTCTCTTGGATTTTTTTTATATCTACATCTGTAATGCTTTCTCTAATGATTTGATAAATGACAAGGCTTCCTAAGTCTCCATTTGCTGCCTTTTTTTTTTCATTTGGAAAGTGAAGGTATTAACAGCTGCCTCTGAACTGGGTAGAGGCAATTCCAAAGAGGTATCATCTGTTTCGTGTTTCAATTCCTAATCTTAGCATAAGAAGGAAGTCCCTGCTAAACTAGCCACCGCTGAAAAGACCGATTAAACCATTCGAAGGATTCGTCCTCTGCGCTGCTGCATCATGAGTCCTTCTACAGCAATCTCTCTCTTGATGTTCATAATGTGGAGATGCTGCGCACGAGAACAACCAGAGCGGCATCCACCTGCAACTGGATTTCAGAAGTGCCAAGAAGCCTTGAACCGTCCTATGTTGGGAGTTCTTCCTGGAGGTGGCTGGGATAATCTGAGGAACTTGGATATGGGTAGAGTGATGAGCCTCAATTACTCTTTGTGCCAAACTACAAAAGATGGGGCTTACATCATCCCCAATGGCATCTTCACCATTGCTCTTAAACAAAGCTTGCTGGAGATGAACTCTGAGATCGTTGAGTCTTGGATGGATTATCAATGTAGCACTGCCATTTCCATCAACGCAGGGCTGTCTTTTTCTCATCTCAATGGCAGGTTCTCCACTGACTTTCGCAGAGCGAAAACTCACCAACTGAGAGATAAGTCTGTGTCCACAAAAGTTCAGATCAGGAATCTGATGTACTCTGTAAAAATGGACCCTTCCGCAAAGTTAGACGAAGGCTTCCAGCAACAGCTTGTCACCATTGCCAGCCAGCTGGAGAAAAACAAGACTCAAATGGCTAACTACTTGGCAGAAGTCTTAGTGTTGAACTATGGCACTCATGTTCTCACTGGAGTCGATGTTGGAGCCAGCCTTGTTCAGGAGGACTATATCAAAGCTTCCTTTGTGAAAGATGGTCAGTCCAGGAGAAGTGCTATCACTGCTGCAGCTGGTATCTCTTTCCAAAACATCATCAACTTTAATATGGGTGTTTCAGTGAGCACAGAAGACAGTTTCACCAAGCAATACCAAGGCAACCGTACTAGTTCTAGAGTGGAGAGCTTTGGGGGTCCGCCTTTTTATCCTGGGATTACCCTGAAAACCTGGCAAGAAAGCATCACCAATCAGCTGGTGGCTCTTGACCGTTCAGGCTTGCCTTTGCCATTCTTCATCACCCCAAATAATTTGCCAGGACTGCCCAGCCCCATTCTGAAAAAATTGTCCCAGACTGTAGAATCTGCCATTGACCGCTACTATACATTCAACACTTATCCCGGCTGCATCAATCCAGCCTCACCCAACTTCAACTTCTATGCCAATGTGGATGATGGCACCTGTGAAGGAATGGCAACTAATTTTACCTTTGGGGGCGTCTACCAGGTCTGTGCTCGATTAGAAGGCCCTGATGCTGACGTGCTCTGCCAAGCCCTGGAGCAGAAGAACCCGCTCACTGGAGACTTCTCCTGCCCTGTGGGTTATACCTCCATCAAACTGCGATCTCAACAACGTGAGGAAGGATTCAGCCACTTGGATTGCCATCAAGATTGCTTTCTTTGGAAACTCTTCTGCAATTGGATTTGCAACGACCTTTTCACACTCTCCAAAGTGCAGTTTAGCTCCCACTGGTGTGCAGCAAGAGGCCCCGTTCCTGAAACCTCCTCATTTCTCTTTGGAGGACTCTTCAGTTCCAAGAATACTAATCCTGTCACTAATGCTCAGTCCTGTCCCTCCAGGTACTACCCACTGAAGCTTTTTGACCAGCTCAAAATATGTGTGAGTAGCGATGAGAGGGGAAAGCGACATTCAGTGCCCTTTGGGGGGTTCTTTAGTTGCCAAATTGGAAACCCACTGTCCGGATTGCCTAATGGGACAGAAAATGACTCGTATCTCAAAAGGTGTCCAGCAGGATTCAGCCAGCATCTGGCTCTGATCAGCGATGGCTGCCAAGTGGAATACTGTGTCCAAGCTGGCCGCTTTACAGATAAGTCTTTACCTCAAGCCCGGCTGCCCCCCTTCACTCGCAGGCCAGCCATCAGCTTCCTTGCTACTGACATCATCCTCGTTACAAGCAGCAATGGGGATCAGACCTGGGTCAAGGATCCTCAGACTCAGCAATGGAAGTCGGCCAACTCGGATGATGTGCTCCACTACCTGAAGAGAGGTGGGGATGCTGGTGGGAGTTTGTCAAATGGAGAAGCAGCAGGGATCACTATTGGAGGAACTGCTGGCTTGGCCATTTTGATCGGACTAGTTGTTCATGTGTGTAAGAGGTATAAGAAAAGGGAGTTTAGCGAGACAGAGGGAGAGAAGACATGTCTGATGTCAAATAATCCTGTCTATAACCTCCTAACTGAAATGGAGGGTACACTCCAGCCAGAGCAGGAAAAACAACCAGTTTAGTGGCTTATTAACTTCATGTCTTTTTATCTATAATCCCAAAATTCTGGTATGGCCATTAGTCGTGCTGACCGGGTCCTAACAAGCTTTGCTGTGGGCTTTTACTCATCTCTTATTACAAGCAATTTATAATCCTAAACAAGTTACCAGGTTCCTTTTTCTGCTGTCTTTCACTCTACTCAGGAGTTAGATCCAAATCGGGGACAAAATGTCTCTTTGCTTTCTATTTGATTAGGAATATTGACAGCTGCCCTATCCTGGGCCAAATCACTGGTCCACCTGGATTGCCGCTGTTGACATCAAGTGGCAGCAGCAGTTCTGGTATTTCAGAGAGCACCCGGCACCCAAATTAATTCTATGCATGCATGTCCTTTTGTTGCGTGTAGTCAGCTTGCAAGTTAAGGTTAAGAAAATGGGGGGATTAGGGGGATTTCTATGGGCATACAGAAGAAAATTGTTATTGTCATTGAATTATATTAAAAAAAAGCTGGAGAGGTATTGTAATATCACCACGGGTAATGCAATTCACGCTGAATGTTTGATAAATGTATTTGGTTGAGGCTATTATGATAACCCTTGAGAACATGTGCAAAATTTCAGATTGGCAACATGGTGATGCTATAGATCAGGGGCCCTCAACCTTGGCAACTTTAAGACTTGTGGACTTTAATTCCCAGAATTCCTCAGCCAGCTTTGCTGGCTGAGGAATTCTGGAAGTTGAAGTCCACAAGTCATAAAAGGGCCAAGTTTGAAGACCCCTGCTATAGATAAGACTTGTAAATAACCATTTATCTCATATTTTTGTTCTGTGCCTTTTGTGTCTTATACATGCCCAAATCAGTTGTATGTGAATAAATCAGAAAGGCTCCTGCTAGAATGGTATGTGGATTGATCTTCTTTCTTCTAACAGCTCATTAAAAAGCACATAAGTTGCAATGGCAATTAAGGTAGACACACAATGTGCACTTCTTCAGGAAGTCAGCGCACTCAGAAATGTGGAGGGGCAAGCATTGCCTGAATAGACTTACAAATTTGCTACCTCCAATCATCTGCTCTTTTGGGTCTATCTCCTGAGGGACAATCTTCTTCAACCTGGATGCCCTCTGGATAGGCAGAGTTCAACTCCCAGAATGTTCCACCTTGCTTTGTCATTGCTGAGAACTTTGGGAGTTGAAGCCCATTATTTGAAGAGCCTCACAATTTAGGAAAACTGCTGTGGAACATGGCCTATTTTCAGCCTCCAGATTTGACAAGGCCTATCATCTCACTGTAGGTGATTGCAAAAACGGTGTGGGAAATCTTCCATTTTAAATCAAGAGGATTATCCCTTCTTGTTCAAAAGAGCATGGGGAAGCTACTGTTTAGCCTGTATTTAAAGTCCTAAATAGCAATAGCATTTAGACTTATATACTGCTTCATAGTGCTTTACAGCACTCTTCAAGCAGAGTCAGCAAATTGCCCCTGGCAATCTGGGTCCTTGTTTTACTGACCTCAAGAGGATGGCTGGCTGAGTGAACCTTGAGCCGGTCAGGATCAAACTCCTGGCAGTGGGTATAGTTAGCCTGCCATTCTGCATTCTAACCACTGCGCCACTACGGTTCCTTAATAATTAGTTATGTTAGTGAGCCATTTTGAAAACATAGCAACAATTGGCATTAGTAAGATGCAACACGCTCAATCCAAACTGTTATATAGCCTTACTTTCAGATTTAGTGACAATCTACACTCTTACATTGCCTTTAGGTTATTAATCAAGTGGGGAAAGCTCTACAGGAATTTATAGGAAGTAACTGTATCTAGAATCCAAGGGCTACTCACAGTTGATTGATGAGTGTCCAAATTGAACTCAGCTCCCAATGACTTTGTAATGTACTTCTTTCTTTTGGTAATAATGCTGGGAAGGTTTGTCACTGTCTTCTACTAGGATGCCTTTTCCACCCTCCAGACTAGCATTTACCCCTGGGATTTCCTAACGGTCTCCCATCTCTATATTTCTCAAGCCAGATCTTGTTTGGTTTTTAAACTGAGACAAGATCAATAAGATCTTAGTTTGTTGATTACCACTGATGATAAAGATCTTTACTATACACAATAGTCTTCTTTCTTCTTGCACTGAGTAAAATCCCCTTGTTGTAATCCACATTTCTTTATGCTTAGCAATTCTAGACTTTGGAAAAACTACTGCTAATTTTCTTTTTCCTTTTCTCGGGCATTTATTTTAGCTCTGGCAACCTGGGAAGATTGGAAAAGCTGACTGTCACGCTCACTTGTAGTTTAGAAGTACCTGGATAGTGCAACGTAGCTAAAACATACTTGCTTCTCCATCCCCTAATTGTAAACTTAAAATGGATAATGTAAGGATTTAACAAGACTATATATTCTAGATTTTTACAAGCAATGCTGTAGAACCAAGTTAGGTAATTATAAAGGTAAATCGCAATTTCTCTTTTCAAGAGGTAGATATATACAGTAAGTTGCATTACAACACCAGGCATGGTTAATATTTCTCTTCTTCTTGGTGAACAGGGACATTTTGTAATATTGTTTGATGGATGGATGAATGGATTGATGGAAGGAAATGGGGAAAGACAAAGGTCAGAATTCAAAGTAACTTCACATGTTAGATCTTACTCAGTGATACAAAGTGCGGATGAAGAGCAGTAGAGAGGGCTTTTATCTTTCAAAAAGACAGGTTTCTTTCTCTTTTCCTCCTCTCTCTCTTGAACTGACCCCACAAGTAAAGCACAAGTCTGGTGCATTAGCACCATTTATTCCCTTGAGAATAGGACCACTGTGCTCAGTTCTTCTTTACATGAATGCATATCCTCGTGGGAAGGGTGTTAGAAAAAAGGAGTTTTCCACAATGTCTCAATGAGTCACTCCCCCCACTCCTGGGAGGAAAGTCCAGCTTTTGGACATGGGCCTTTGTGGTGCCCTTGTTGGGCTTCTACACAATAACCTATTTTTACCAGCACTTGAGTTACTTTCATTCTTGGGTTTTTCCCCCCTTTAAATCACAGTGCTTGTCCTCCTTTTTCTTCCTGTTTTAAAAATTGGCCCCTTATTTGTCACTTAGAAAATCACACGTATTTGGTTTATTTAATCCAGCAAAGAAAACTGCATGAATAATAATGCATTAAAATATAGTCTTAAGTTGCAAAAATATATATATTGTGCTCTTTTTAAAAACACACCAAGCAAATTTAACAGAAATACACTTCAGTAAACAGCATTTTGTATAAAGGAGCTTTAGGGAGTAGTCAAAGAACCACGTCAACCTTCTGAAAGCTTGTTTCTACTGTATTTCATTGTTTATTGCTTAATGTTCTGAGCAGTAAGGAATCCATCTTAAAGGAGACAAAAGACATAAAAAACGTAGCACTCAAGTTATATAAAATAACCTAAAACATGCAAAGGTAGAAACTCAGTGAGAAAACATTTTGACAGCTAAAATCATATCTAGAATGTCTTTGGATTCAGAAAACAAATGCCATATCTTGAATATTTATATATGTAGCCTATTTATCCTCCCATTCCATGATTCATGTTCATATAATATGCATAGAATAATTTAGTAATGGGGATCATGACAGAATTTTAAAAAACAGGAATTTAGTCTCTAGAGGATCACGGAGAGGAATGAACAGCTGTAAAGTTGTTCTTGAATTTGAAAGCCCAAAACAACCCCACACTGTTGTTTTTTTTCTGAATTTTCACAGATACATTAATTTCTGATATTTTTGGATCCTTGGCAAACAGAGAGAGAAGAGCTTCCAGCTACTAGCAATAATTAAAGCTAATGTTGTAAGAACAGCAACTGTGTGGCTGCCTGGCATATTGTGTTCTTGTGAAGGAAACAAACAGAACGTAATAGAATTCCAAGTTGTATGAAATGCCTTAAAAGAAATATAAAAAAAAGCAAAAGCGAACAAAAATTCAAGCCAGTCTCTTTCAATCTGGTGCCTCAGTTGGATTTTGTTTGTATATGACCCAGTTCTGGCCAACCTTTGATATTGTAATCGCTGCACGAGAGACAAGCGCTCTGTAAGCCCAGATTTCTCCAGCATTACAAAACTTTAGCTTGAGGGGAAAGAGGTGCTTTAATTTCTGCTAATTGTGCAGTCACGGAAACGCTCAGGAAAGCCTTATACAATCCTTGACAATGAACTTCTCTATAAATACGTTCCGAGTTTATTTATAACTCAATTGATTTTATGTTTTTTCTCATTCACATCATTTTCTGACATTGAAATGGGACATTTTGGCTTATCCCCAAATGATTATATTCTACTACACAGTTTAGGACTGCTCCGTTGCTAATTGTGGTAAACAACCGTTGTTGGTTTCTGTTGAACCGATTCTCCAACATTTATTGTGATTGAAAAAAACGCCTCCCCTCAGCCCCCCCTTACCAGGCAAATAAAATGTACACGTTCACTTTTGAAACGAAAGAAAAAATAAACAACAGACAGAAGCACAGACTTAGAAAAGACAAACACAAAACATTATTCAAACTGGCAGTGGAATTTTCCTTTTATTGTTACACCCCAAGGGTGCCATCCTCAAGCAAGGCAACAAACTAAGAGACGGGCAAAACGCACCGTTCACAAACAACAAACAATATACAATATGGCTCCCATATCCCGCCCTCCCACTCCCTATCCCACTACCAGCGCCCACACAATCTGCTTTGGGACTCCAAAATTGGAAACCAAAAACTATCATCCCTGATAAGAATCCTTCATCAGGTTGCTTATTCTCTATAATGCAATTTTAAAAAAAAATTCTGGAGAGATGAAAGAAGAAACCAATCAGCCCAAATAATACGAAAGAAAAAAGCGGATTTACTCCCTTCCATTGGGAGATGCATCTGATGACAGGAAAATGTTCTTCCCAACGGCTCTCCCTTATCTTGGGAGATTAAGTTACATATGAGGGAATGCCATGGTTATAGAGGAAATTTGGTGCAAGAGAGAGAGGTATGAAGAAACCTTGAAAGGGAAATTTGTTATTCTTGTCTACTAAGACAAGATGGTATGAAACTGCAAATCCCGCTGGGAAATGCCCTATTCATTTATTCACTGCAAAAGGGATTTCAGTGTACGATGGATGCTTCAGAACTATTGATAGCCCTTTTTACTATTACTCTGGTGAAGATTTAAGAACTTAAATGTTAGGAGAAGAGAACTGGGAAAAGAACAAGCAGAATATTGTTTTAACTTCTGTATCAGGGTATCCAAAAAGAGGAGACCGATACGTACTTTTACTTTTCCAAAGAAATCAAGCATATATGAGCGTGTTTCCAACTTCTTGGGGAAAAAATACCAATAAAAATGAGAACTTTGGGAGCTCCTAAATATTTGCATGCTGCAGTCTTATCCTTGTGTGACCTCTGTGCTCTTACATATATCTACTGTTACCCACTTGGATAAACATACGATCAGCTCCACAAAGATGCTCATTTCTTTTAGGCTCTCACCTGAGCCTACTTCACTGGCTGAGATCTTTATAGTGCCTCAAGACTAATGGAAATGAATGAGGTGAGGAGTGAGGGATATGCAAATCAAATATACATAGGTATACATATAGATCTATTGATAACAGTATTCATATCCTGCCTGCCCCAATCACCAGACTCATGCTTTTAACCCTGGCATAGCCCTTTCAAAATGGTGGGGTGGGGTGGGGATCTTATTTTAATACCATGGTAATCAATAGCAATGGCAGTTCTTAGCCTCCAGGTCTAACTTTAAGTACCACTGTGTTACACGTTCTACCCTCAAAAGTCGCTTTTTCATTCATTACAAATACAAACATACATACACCCACACACAATATATGTGACTAATCCCCCAAACATGAGGTAAATAAATTCAAATCAGTATCAGGGGACTCCCCCATACAGAAAGTTCAAAGAACCCACCGTGAACTGTGGGGACAAAGACAGGAAGTGTCTTTCCCTCACCGCCCCCTGATCTCTGCTGATTCTAACCCTCATCAGAAACAGATCAGACGTAGAACAACCTCCCCAACGACGCAATTCACAAACAAAACTGGGACATACAGCTCAGCACTGATCTGGAAAGTCAGTCGATGCGATCTGACCCAGAGGGCTAGTCGACACTTCAGCCAAAAAAGCCCAGCCTGATCCAGCACACCCAGCTACAAGAGCAAAAACAAGGCTTGACTTTGGGAGCCTGGCATAACCCAAGAGATTTACTGCCCCTGTTTCACATTCAGTTCAAATACTAGCTGCAATTAATTCATTCTGTCCTCATCCACTCTGAAGTGGGCCCGCAGAGATTTGGCATGCACTGACCCAGTTTGGAATGCATTCCAAGAGAACGAATTTCCAATCTACTTCACTAAAGAGCAATAAGCAGGCCTCCTGCTCAACTACCTTGGGTGGGAACTATAGATGCAGCCTCTCAACAAGGGAAGCTGGCAGGGAGTGAAGTACTAGACTGGCAAACAGTATATATCATGCCTCACACTGAGCCCATGACACGAAAGCAGCAGGGACATGACAACATGGAACCAGGCACCTAGCTGGGTAAGAAAGAAGAAAAATAAAATAAATGAGAGGGCTGGTTTCAATCTTCTGCACCTCTGAAACAAAGCCATTATTTTTTGACTTGCACACGATTCTGCCATTCCAAGCTGTCTGCTCCCCACAGCCATCCCTTATTGTTCATGGACAGAAGATGCTACTGCATCCCAGAGAGGGCCAAAACCCGGTTTTTGAGATACAAAGCTAAAATAGCTACGGGTACTAAGGTTAATATAACCTCAGACCTCAACAGGACACTCCTCCTCATGCTGAAGAGGAACACAAAAACCTTCCCACGTTTGTTTGCTTTGTGTACGTCAGGTGCCGTGGGCCACATATGAGAACGGGCTGGGAGTTCCTCATTTAAGCAAACCCACTGCTGCATAGCCACAGTTGAGCCTTTTAAGAGGCCTGCAGTAGGAAGATGAGAGGGCAGAGCAGGCACAATGGAAGAGGGAGGAGCTTGACCCATGCACAAGCTGCTATACTTGTCGCTCCTCCCTTGGACAAAGTCCTTCCCCTTTCCTCTTACACTTTCAGTCCTTCTCCTGCATCATGCTCTCCTCTGTAATGCCCTGAGCTGCCAGCTCAGCAAGTACATTGTCTAGGTAGTTGGGATCAGGGTAGCCGTGGCCCGTGAGATTGGACCCAAATTCCGTCTTGTGGTGAATCTCATTCCAGATGACTGTATCCGATTCCCCAGTGGTGCTTGAAGTGCCTATGGCAAAGATCAGCCTTCGATCCCAGGCCACCAACAGCAGTTTCAGCACCTGCCAGAGGAAATGGACA